GTTTTAAGCAGTGCAGGAAGAGGTTTGTTTTATTTTTTGTTGGTTGTTTTTAACAACTAATATATGAACGAACAAACAACAGATACATTGGAGACAGGGAGATGGGAGGTACCTGTAAGAGATCTGTAGGAATTCAGATGGATCTGAGCTGGAAAGACCAGCACAAAGCAAGCTCCACCTGCTGAATTGTGAGGCTTCGAAAGCTTCAAGAAGCCAAAACTTGATCCTGAGGTTCTTCTGAATGCTTCACATTCCCAGCTATTTCTATACACCACCCAGAACTATGGGAGCCTCATACATCAACCAGAAGCCTTTTCTCTTTCCATAGGTTAATGAAGCATTATTTCAAGAAAAATTAAACAGCCCCTTCCCTTTCCTCCTCCCCAGCCACTCTATTCTCTTTAAGGATATGTTATTCTGAAGTTAATAGCTCTGACAGTCTGTCAGGCCTAACAGTCTAAAGAGCAGTAATTCTTGAGCAGCTCTAAATCTCAGTCTTAAATACCACTGGAGTCCTGTGGGCTGAGCTCTCCCCCCCAGTCAGGCTTATTCTATGCTCTCTCCACCATTAGCCTTCTGCTCCAGAGCAGTGTTGCAGGGCAGTGGATCAGGCAGCAGGGTATGTAAAACCTGAACTAAGTTTTCAGGCAATACTTTTGAATGGCTATGCTATTTCCTCTTAAACAACTGTTGAATTTTGACTGCACTGGGCATAAATATTAGATGACAGGAAAATGATCTTATTTAATCTCTGGAAAAACAAATGTCACGCAGGTTTCTGCTGGTGTGCTACTGTAACATTTGGCACAATCTCATTGGAAGAATTGTGTCATGCTGACAGATTAATGAGCTCCAAGAGAAATGAACAGATAAATACGGAGTAAGCAAGATACTTGCACTGACAGAGTTACTGCAAGTAAAGGCTGCATGTCTCGCCTGTATTAGTCTCTGCTCAGCAGACTCAACAGATGAGAAAACATAAATGAAACAAAGCCAGAACTTTACAGACAGGACAGTTCCATAAAAATTATGCTTCATTCTACCAATTAAACAGGTTTCTGAGAGAGAGAGAGAAGTAAAGTGATTGCGAAACTACAAGGAAAAACCAAAACCAACCTAATGGATATTGTAAGAAAAAAAAATAATAATCCTCTTTTTCCCTTTCTTTCCATTACTTAACCAATATTTTTGACTTCACAGCACTTAAAATCGCTTTAGATTACTAATGTAACCTATCAAATTATTATAACATACATTCTCTCTTCTACAAGAAATTAGCAAGAAAATAGGTTAAGCTTCTTATTGAAGTTTAACCAGTTATTTATTTTTCAACACTTTACGTATTTAAAAAAAAAAAAAGCACAGGATTAAACAAGTGCTGGATGTTGCGATTGCGACCATTTCTCAGTTTCATTAACTGACAAAATCCATTCCAACACCAAATAAGGATTCTAAAGTTCACAAGACCAGAAAGCAGTATGCAGTTCTTCTGTCTACACTGGAAAACTGAGGCCAACTATCAAGCTCAAGACTTTCTATTAAGATATAAGTAATGAGGGAAATGCTGAAATATTTCAGAAAGAATAAGATTTCAAGTCCTGTCTCTTCCTAACAAAAGACAACAAATCCCAAAACCATAAATCTCACAGTCAGTTCAAAAAGTGTGAAAAAAACTGGATTGCTTCTTACTTCGGCCAAATCTGTTTGCTTATCCCCAAATCAATATCTTCTATAATTCTTTGCAAAAAGCATTAAAAGTGCCATGCAAAAAAAAAACCCATACTGTATTTGTAAAGTCTTGGCATTTCCATGACTTTCAAAGCATGCAGTGCAGCTGTGGTTTGTTTGTGTTTTCTTCTTTCAGAACAACTGAGAAGTTTCAAAATATTGTATTCCTGTGAGGAGATGTTGAAGGCAGTCACAGCTGAATGTGAGCAATACCCATGCAGAAGACTGGCTTGGTTATTCCCTTGACACGGACTCATCCCGACTCCCAGCAACTGTTCACCCAGCAGCAGGCTGGGTTAGCCTGAATGTAAGGCTTCTCTGAACGTAAAAACGCTGTTTGGGATTTGTTGTGTTTAACTGTGAGCTACTGCGATGAAGGAGAAGTTTCACAGAGGGGGTTTCAGCTGAAAAGGAAGACTTCCCCAGGGGAGAGGAAGGCTAACAGCACCAGGAGTTAACCATTTCGGCCACCTAAGTTTAACTCTGCTGTGATCCTGACTGGACATGAGGGACACAGCAAAAGCAGAGCTTACTGTAATGACAGCTGCAGGCAGAAGGCAACTCAGAGGCAACAGGAGTTATGCCAACCATTATCTCACCTAATTATTTATTCAACATGATAAATGTAGAAAAGCAGCAGTTAGACATTACTACAACCAAACATTGCTCTACACCATTAACATCTTCCCGCACTTCTGAGGACATTCAGATCCAGAAGTCCAAGATTGCCTCAGCAGCTCATGCATGCCCAGGAACTTTTCTAACACATTCTTCCACAACATTCTCGTAATAAGAGATTGTAATTTTTAAGTATACACACACACACACATATATATATAAAATCAACATAAATATAAACATATGACACAGCTAATAATCATTACAAAGTTCCTTGCTTTTACTAAAAAAGCTTCATATTGGGGGGGGGGGTGAGGTGGAGAGAGATGTTGCATTACCTGCTGTACAATACAGAAAACAAGGTAGAGACAAAAACATCACCACAATGAAACCTTTCAGCTTCAGGACCTTTGAGTTCCACATAATATTAAATATTTCAATATTGCAACAGGTTATCCCACATTTTTCATCATAATTTACAACAACGGCAGGTCACCCTTTCAAGGCAATGGGACAAAGAGGGAGAAGGAAGGTGATTGCTTATGACATTTAGTTTTATTTCGGTAGGGCTTTTTAAGTTGTAAGGCTTCTTAGATGAAAATGATGCAGGAAATTCATAGTACATGCTAATATAGAAAAAAGTTTAGTAGATCACCCAGTGACTTACTATATTTGGTAACTGAAAGTTTAGGCTCGTTTAGCCGTTTTCTGTGGTTGTGCTTCATACACAGTACACAACAAAAGGGACCCTGATTTGCAGTCTGCACACATGCAGACCACTGCAGTAAGAATAAAATGGTGCCTGAGTAGGCATGATATTTTTAATAAAGTTTCTGCCTATTTAAATGTACTTAACTGCATGTTGCTTGGTCAAAAGCTGTCAAGTCTTGGGACATCCGTTTGCTTCCTCTGTCACAAAACTGATTTCCTTGTAGACAAGAGAGACACCATCATTCAAATACTCCCTGTGTTGTTCTAGGAGAGGGTATATGGAGTGAGAGGTAGAGATTGAGGGAGAAGCAAACACCTGGCAGGAACTGGAAACTCTGAGGCCACATACACCAGTGCACACCATCTAGGTGTCCATAGGAAAAATGCGCTAGGGCCATAACCAAAATCCATCCCTGGTCTGCTGCAAAGAGCTCATCACTGGCAGCAGAATGCCAGTGCCATAAACACCATGCATAGCACAGGCCAGAGCTCCCTCATTCTCATTTCAGCAAGGATATTTTCTGCACAAGAGGCAACAGAAAGTACTTACAAGTTTATTGGCAGAGGTCACATTTTGAGTCAGATTATATTTTCTACATCCCCTATTACTTTAAATCTCTTGGTAACTTCCCTTCTGGAGGGAGAGGAGACACTAACTGCATTGCATTTATCTGTTTATCTTGAAGAAGTGTTTATTTGTTTTTAAATGTTCTTTGTCTATATTCCTTTGAGTCTTCTCTGGCAATTTTTTTTTTTCTAGTTACCTTCAAATACAGCATGGGTTTTGTTTGTCAGCTTTTGGAGGGAACTGCCTTTAAAACAAGGGTTGAAGTATATTCTCTTCTCCAAGCTATGTCTTGCTGAGCGTCCCACCTGAAGATGTAGTAGTATTACAATGGCTTTCAGTTTCCAGGGACTGGACTAAGTCTATTAAGGATTTAGGCATTAGAATAAGGAAAGGCAGGTAGCTTGTGCTCTTTCATTGCTATTAGACTTAGCAACTAGTTTTAAATCAAAGATGTGTTTGACAGACAGAGTTATTCTAACTTGTTTTTTTACTATCGTTGTATCTTTCCCAAACAGATCTTCCCAAGCAGTAGAAGCTTCCAGGTTTCTAAAGATAATAAAAGTGAGCCCAGAGTTCCAAAGATACAACAGAAAAATTGAAGCATGGATCCAGTAGTATCTTAGTTTCATAATTTAATGAGAATAAACCCTAGCTCAGCAATTATACGAAGTAATTACACGAGAAACAGCTTTCTCAAAGCTGTTATTTGTGGAAGAGAGTTCTTACAATAAAGATCTCGAGGACCACATCATCAATAGATCAAAGTTTTCCTAAAGGTATTTAAGGAGCGATACTCTTAACATGCACACACACAAAACAGACCAGACTTCTTAAAGACATGAACCTGAAACCGATGGTGCAGACACTCCTTTGATGAAAATCAACACCCTGCTAAAAACATACAGCCTCAGATCCTCCTCACAGCAAGATAAGCCATTTGTGCACAGTTGATTCTCCTTGTGTGGAGGGGAGAATATAACAAAGTGAAAGAGTGCTAGTTTGTCATCATTCATCATTCATTGTGTACGGTTCTGGTGTCCTCAACATAAAAAGGACATGGAACTGTTGGAACAAGTCCAGAGGAGGGCCACAAGGATGATCAGGGGACTGGAGCACCTCCTGTATGAAGACAGGCTGAGGAAGCTGGGGCTGTTCAGCCTGGGGAAGAGAAGGCTGTGTGGAGACCTCATAGCAGCCTTCCAGTATCTGAAAGGGGCCTATAAGGATGCTGGGGAGGGACTCTTCACTAGGGACTGTAGTGACAGGACAAGGGGTAACGGGTTCAAACTTAAACAGGGGAAGTTTAGATTGGATATAAGGAAGAAATTCTGTACTGTTAGAGTAATGAGGCACTGGAATGGGTTGCCCAAGGAAGTTGTGAATGCTCCATCCCTGGAGGTGTTCAAGGCCAGGCTGGACAGAGCCTTGGGTGAGATGGTTTAGTGTGAGGCGTCCATGCCCATGGCAGAGGGGTTGGACCTAGATGATCTTAAGGTCCTTTCCAACCCTAACTATTCTATGATTCTATGATCCACATGCCACATCCCTACAGCAAGATATGTTAAAATAAGATGGAAAAAACACTACAATGCCCATTTGCTGACACTCTCTAACCTTGTATATTGTTACTGCCATCTGTTTCTGGATTTGAGAAGGGTTTTCTTCTTTTTGCCAGTTTTCAATTTCAGTGTTCCAACTTTTACAAACTAGTCCATTAAAATGGTATTAAGCGAGTTCTCACAAGAAAATATTCTCTGCTACTCCCACAGAAAACAAATCACATTAAATGAACTGCAGTCCCCTACTACTACCAATAGTATAATTTCAACAAAGAAAGGCTTGTCAGTTTGTCTGGCCCAATTTCCACGTTTATGTAACTAAGCTATGTAAGATCCATGATTATTACCCCATATACATAATTTCTAACTCATGTTTCTGTTATATACACAGTTTCTATTTTTAAACCTGTAACTTTATTCACCCGTGTATGTGTTTACATAAGGACTAAAACTAAGGCTCACTGAGCAGCAGTTCCTGGTTGCCCTTCCTGTCTGTTTGAGTGGGAGGATAGGAGGTGACCTTTTCTTCTTGCTTCTCTTGCCCCTCGCTGCTTGTTTCACAGTTTATTCAATACAGTGGCCACTAGCATTTGAAATTCATTCAGATAATCTTCCCAAATCGTTCAGATCTAGGTCCTTTGAACCTGCTGATTTATACAACAGCTCTAATCTTTCAAATGGCACTCAAAATCCTTTCTATAAGCCGCCAGGTTTGCAAGACCACCAGTCCCTCCCACACCCATATCTTGCATTCTCACCAGGAGCATTTTGAACTCATTCTTTATTGGCTAATGACCCCCACAGTCATCAAACAGTACAGAACATGTTAACTAACACATGCACACCCACACAAGGCCCCTTTCTTATTCGGGATACGTTAACTAGAGAAAAAACATTGACTAGCTCAAGCATGTTATTTTTCCTCATTTACGAGCAGTCAGCTTTAGAATACTTTGAGCAGTACTAGCCTCCAGTCCTGGTGCATGCACATCTAGGAAAAAATTAAAGAAGGGCTATATAGAAAACATTTTTTTGATGACTGGCTTACATATCTGCAGTATGAATAACTCGTTGTAAAATAATGCACTTCCATTAAAATCCAGAGTGTTGTGGGGGGAATTTTTGTTAAATGATAAGTCGCCACCAGTTGCATGTACACAGAGAAGAAGCGGTTCTGGACAGCATGCCTTGCAACAGACTACAAACAGCTCAAAAAGGAAGTTTTCAATTATCCCACTCCCAAATATATAATTCCTGCTGGAACAATATTGCAATCTGTAGATTAAACATGAATTAAATTCATATTAAAAAATAATATCCTGCATTTTACATCCTAAATTAAAACAGATGTAATTAAAACCTTTGAAAGTAATTTTGGCTAGTGCTTCATTTGTATCTACAGCTAAAGTAGACACTTTCTCAGTGATTTGTGCCAAATTTGACTAATTCTTCTGCTCTGTTTTAATTACTGTATATGCTTTCCTGCTGCAGTTAAGAATATCCATTACACACTTGAACAGCCAATGCTATGAGAAAATGTGCACTTTTTTAAGCCTAGTGGTGTTTCAAATCATAACGTGAGAGTGGCAAAGCTCTATACTTCACAGCTGCTTCTGCTATATACTACTGTACATAGTCTGTACACGCACACATCCCATGACCTGCATCTGACCTTGGCTGCAGCAACACATAGCACATCCAGAACAACCTTACAAACGGAAGACAAACTACACAATATCTCATTCAAGCCAACGCTGTACTTAAATATCACTGCACTTCTCCTGCTATGCTACCTATGTTAAAGCCAACTTCAATAAACATTCTTCTCAAAAAGAATGTTTTGTTTGGGGTTAAATTCCTTGCACTTCCATCCCTCCTGTGCAAATGCACAAAAAGCAACCCTGCTAAGAACCCAGTTCATACAGGAGAGTCCTGTACCCCCATCTCCAGAGAATCCCAGCTTCTTAATTTACGGGTTGAATTTCAGAGACTTGATAACAGTTATCCTTTAAGTGCAAGAATCCATGTCAGGCAACAAGGTTTGGAGATTACCCCTTCTAGAACAAGTTTTAAGTTTCCAGGCCACTTGCAAAGTTAAACAGGGGGAATTTCAAGTGCAAAAGAAGCAAATGTTAGCTGCTGCAATCCATTCCCTGCTTTGCTTGGCTTAGCTGCTGAGTTACATTCCCAGGCAGCCAGATGCAAGCTGTTAGTGGAACTAGAGTTTTGTACTATTGCATTTGGTGAGATCTTCCTGAAAAAACAGGCTGGTTCTCCTCCTTGCCTTCATAGATCAAGTCACACAAGTCATTTCTAAATGTATGTATCACATACTACAGGTACGTGTGGACATACACATTGTCTATGGTTAACATAAAGATCAGTGAGCAGCAAGTTCCCCTTGAATTAAACCAACAATGCCCAGACCAACTGCTTCACTCCATCTGAATTTCAAGAAAGGGAACAGCTGCAAGCACGAAAAGGCAATCACAGCTGTCTTAAAACTTAAAGTAAATTATGTGGGAAGATTTGCAGATAAAAAAACATTAAAGTGTATTTAAAATAGTAATTTATGAGTATTGAAAGTTGGAGATAGCGAAAATAAGAATAAAATATATACTTCTGCATAGGTATGGATCAGTCTCCTCAGTGGTATAAGCAGAAATTTTAACTCATTGCAGAGAAATCAGCAGAACTCTTTATTGTACCTCTGGATTTGACAGAGTACAATTTGGCTAAAAATTCTCCAAAGAGGAAAATGTACTTTTTCATATTAACTGGTAAAAATAAGACAACCTATAGATAAAAAAACTTCATGTCCATCCTACGATCATTTACATGGGAAATACTATCTTCATTTCAATAATACTCAGAACTGTATGCAATAATACGGATTACTTTATTATTACCTTGAGGCAGAGAATATCCAAAGGCCCTAATCCAGCCTAGTTTTTGTCCTATGAAAGTGTTAAAGTTGGACGGGGCTTTGAGCAACCTAATCTAGTGAAAGGTGACTCTGCCCATGGCAGGGAGCTTGGACTAGGTGATCTTTAAAGGTCTATCCCAACCAAAACCATTCTATGAATCTATGAATAAGCACTAGAATACACTCAGAGTATATATTACGGTGTTCTTTATGAACAGTCTCTATTAAAAAAAAAAATATGCTATTTTTCAATCAGAACTGATAAAACAGGAAAAACAAAGGGTTAACCAGATTGTGTCAGCTATTCAACACAAGTCTGAGATTATCAGACATTTCCCTAATAAACAAATCACACATATGTTCAGCTCACACTAAGGTTTACCATGAATTCTTGCAACTTTGCTTTACAGGTTCCAACACATCCAGGTCTAGATCTTGGCTTGGATCATAAAATCAGACCAGCACTGCAGGAAGGACTGATGACCACAAGTCTGGAAAATGGTTTCAGGTATAGGACCCAGACCTTAGCCTATTTTCTTTATGGTAGCAAAACATTACAGAATTTATCTACTGAAATTCAGTGTTTGCCAATACAAACCAATCAAGCTGGGCAGAGGTCCCCTCCAAATGCATGAAAGCATGTGCACTATGTTTTGTACTCCTTTCCCAAAGAGTTGGCCAAATCCTTGATTGCCAAAGCACCAAAAAAACAAATTTTTGCTTGTTTTCAGACTCTTCCTCAGAAAATACAGCATGTGAATCAAAAACTCCCCACTTCACCTGGCATTTAGAGATTTTTAATAGGTCTCCGAGTAGTAAGTATTCAACTTTTCCTTGTGACGAAGGCTCTATTTTGAAAAATAGAGGGCTCAAAACCTGCAACACAGTCCCCATAGAAAATAAGAAGAGAGTTTTAAACCAGTGTGCATTAAGGAAACTCTAAGAAGTCAGCATTCCAGCTCTGATGCATATTCCTATTTTTATCATATTCATTCCCTAGAAGAAATATCTACTCTCACTGCACTCCTTTTTCCACCAGCTTATCAGCGCATGCCCTTGACCACAGTACAAAAACCAGCATTTACCAACACTCTGCGGGTGAAAGATTATTCTTCCATATAAATTATACATTTTAGGAACTCATAATTTCTTTCATACTGAAAACCTATTCAAGCCTTCCAGCATCTGTGAGCTAAGTGGTTTGCTCCAGCCGGGGGGGCGACAAATGCTGATATTTCAAGAAACCTAATCTCTTAATGATTGAGATCAGATGAAGGGTATGGCCATGAGAGACAGCTTGAAACAGGCCTAATCTCCAGCATATCTGAACCTACAGATGGCTGAGATACAGCGCTGCCACCAGTACAGCTTCAACTGACTGTAATCTGCCTACCCAAGGGTGGTCCAGCCAGAGCAATTGAATTGCACACAGAAATCTCTCACACCGATACTTCCTGGGAAAAGTACAGCAAAGCTGATGAGGCTGGGTGGCAGCATGAGCCAAGCAAGCACCATCTCCATCAGATGAAAGCAGCTCAAGCCTACTAACAAAATGATATTCCTGCTCAGATCAGCTTTGATCACGGCAAAACTCCTACTTCTTGGTTTCCAGGCTGCCAGTTTTCCCAGGTCAGCCTTCTAACATGCCTCCATGCCTGAAGATTTCCTGACCAGGCAGCCCTGCACTGCTTTTCCAAGGTCACAGAAACACTGTTACTTTTCACAGAGACACTGAATGTTTTCTAATTCATTTCCCCATCAGCTAAATACAGCTCTTATCAGCACTGGGGCACACAGCAGAGGCTCAGCTTTTCCAATCAGCCCACTCAGGGCAGTGATACATAAGAGTGCATCCTCCTCCCTCACTTCCAACAGATCCCCAGTTATCTGCACTGCAGAAATAAGTCACCATACTCTTTGCTTCCTTGCAAAATACAAGTATTT